CAGCATGGACGAGGCTGTGATGTTTAGGGTTGTGCTGCATGGACCGAGGCTATGCAGTTTAGGGTTGTGCAGCATGCACTGAGGCTGAGCAATTTAAAGTTGTGCGGAATGGACCTAGACAATGCAGTTTAAGGTCAAGCAACATGGACCGAGGCTGCACATTTTAGGGTCATGCCGCATAGAAAGAGGCTATGCTGTTTAGGTCATGCAGAATGGACCAAGGGTGTGTGGTTTAAGGTCGTGCATCATGGGTCGTGGTTGTGCAGTGTCGGGTCGTGCAACATTAATAAAGGCTGTGCTTTTCAGGGTCGTGCAGCATGGAGAGAGGCTGTGCAGTTTAGGGTCGTGAAGCATGGATCGAGACGATGATGTTTAGGGTCAGTTGCACGAACGGAGGCTTTGCATTTTAGGGTCGTGCAGCGTGGACCGAGGCAGTGCAGTTTAAGGTTGCGTAAGTTACGCCGACGTTGTGTAGTTTCGGGTTGTGCAGCATGGACCGTGGTTGTGTAGTTTAGGGTTGGGTAGCATCGACCAAAGCTAAGAAGTTTTGCATCGGGCAGCATGGACTAAGGCTGTGTAGTTTAGGGTTGTGCAGCATGGACAGAGACTATGCAGTTTAGGGTCAGTTAGCATGAACCCAGGCTGTGCATTTCAGGGTCATGCAGCATGGACTAAGGCTGTGCAGTTTAGAGTCGTGCAACATGCACCAAGGCTGTGCAGTTTATGATTGTGCAGCATGGAACGAGGTAGTGTAGTTTACTTTCGTGCAGCACGGACCGAGGCAATGCAAATAAAGGTCGATCAGCATGGACTGAAGTTGTGCAGTTTAGGGTGGTGCAGCATGGACCGAGGCTGTGCAGTTTAAGGTCGTGCAGCTTAGACCATGACCGTGCAGTGTAAGGACGTGCAGCATGCATCGAGGCAGTGCAGTTTAGGGTCATGCAACATGGACCAAGGCTGTGCAGTTTAGGGTTGTGAAGCATGGACTGAAGCTATGCTGTTTAGGCCATGCAACACGGACCGAGGCAGTGCAATTTATGGTCATGCAGCATCGACCGAGGCTATGCAATTTTGGGTAGTGTAGCATGGACCGGGGTTGTGTTGTTTAGGGTCTCGCTGAAGGGATCGAGGCCATGCAGTTTAGGGTTGTGAAGCTGGGACTGAGGCGGTGCAGTTTATGGTCGTGCTTGGACCGAGGCTGTGCAGTTTAGTGTGGAGCAATGTGGATCAAGGCTGTTCAGCTTAGGGTCGTGCAGCATTGATTGAGGCTGTGGAGTCTAGAATCGTACAGCATGGACCGAGGCTGAGCAGTTTACGGTTGTGCAGCATGGTCCGAGGCTGTGTAGTTTAGGGTTGTGAAGTGTGGACCGAGGCTAGGCAGTTTAGGGTCGTGCAGCATGGATCGAGGCTGTACAGTTTAGGGTCATGTAGCATGTATCAAGGCTGTGCAATTTCGGTTCATGCAGCACGAATCGAAGCTGTGCAGTTTAGGGCCGTGCAGCATGGACCGAGGATGTGCAGTTTAGTGTCGTGCAGCACGGACTGAGGCTCTTTAGCTTAGGGTTATGCCCCACGGACCGACGCTGTGCAGTTTAGGGTCGTACGGTATTAACCGAGGCTGTGCATTTTAGGGTCGTGCAGCATCGATCAAAGTTGTGCAGTTTACGGTTATGCAGCATGCACCGAGGCTATGTGGTTTCGGTTCATGCAGCATGAACCGAGACTGTGCTGCTTAGGGTCATGCCATATGGACGGAGGCTTTGCAGTTTAGGATTGTGCAGCATGGATCAAGGCTGTGCAGTTTAGGGTCGTACAGCGTGGACCGAGGCCATGCATTTTATGATCATGCAGCATGTACCAAGGTTGTATAGTTTAGGGCCACGCAGCTTGGACCGAGGCTATGCAGTTTAGGGGCGTGAAGCACGGACCGAGGTCGTTTAGTTTAGGGTCGTGCAGCACGGATCGAGGCTGTGCAGTTTAGGGACATACAACATTGTCTGAGGTCATGCAATTTAGGGTCAGGCAACATGGACAAAAGTTGTGCATTTTTGGGTCGTGCATCATGGACCAAGGCTGTGCAGTGTAGGGTCGTGCATCATGGACCGAGACTATGCAGTTTAGGGTCAGTTAGCAAGAACTGAGGCTGTGCATTTTTGGGTCATGTGCATGGATCGCGGTTGTGCAGTTTAGAGTTGTGCAGAGTCAACTAAGGCCGTGCAGTATAGGGTCGTACAGCATGGATCGAGGCTGTGCAGTTTTGGGTCGTATAACGTTGATCGAGGCTGTGCAGTTTAGGTTCATGCAGAATGGACCGAGGCTGTGTAGTTTAGCGTCGTGTAGCACAGATCGAGGCTGTGCAGTTTAGGGTCGTGACGCATGGCTCTGTAGGAGTTCAGGAGTTCTTCTCATAAGAAAAAGGCCATTTTATAGTAAATATTTTTCACATAAAACAAATTGTTGCCTATTTGAAAGCACGAATCAAATATGTAGGGAAAAAGTTTATAAAGAGCCGAGGCTCCAAACAATCAAATTTTAGCCTACCTTAAAAATTTCATTAGAAGAGGTTGTTTTGATGCCCAAATATATTCAAATTGATCATCTCGACATCAAGATGCATGGACATGAGAAAAAAATAGATTTTAAGTTTTGAAAATAGTGCATTTTGTAACGCATTTTTGGACCATCAATTTTCAAGAATTTAGAGTTTTCATAGATATATCGATCTACACTATTTTTAAAATTTTAAAATTTATAAATAAATATGAAAATATATTAAAAAGCTATCATAAATATTTCCAATATTGAAACCACATTTCTCGATACTATTTGAAGGTAGGCTCTAATTTGATTGTTTAGAGCCTAGGCTCTATACAAACCGCACCCAATCTCCGTTTCAAATGAAAAAAAATTAGAGAGATTACTTTCATATGAATCAAGCAACCCTGAGTAACTAAACCCCCAATGCTTTTTATTGATGCTGAATCAAACTTTTAACAAAGTCCTCACTCTCAATGATCATATTACAGACAAAATCCAAGAAGAGAAGAGGAACCAAGGCCTCAAGTGCTCCCTGAGCTTTCAGCAGGCAAAAGCCCACTCTCTTTGTCATCCTCATAGTGATTCTCAATCGATCTAATGGCTGAGTGGACCAAAACAAGAACAATTCCAATGGTCAGTGACACCAGTATGTTCTTTGTGGCATGTGTGAGCAAGAGGGCCACCAGCGTCACAACCGATAGCAGTAGCAGCACCAGGCGGTCACCGAGGGTGCGCCCAAAAAAGATCAGGGGATCATCTCTCAAGAAATAGAGGAACAACCAGATGGCCATCATAACAAGGAAGACGATGAGCGAGACGGGATGCCACAAGAGACTCAAGAACACCACCACCAACACGATAAGAGCGTAGTTCACGCGGAAGTAATCTGTATTGGCTCGGACGCGAGCGACTGCTTCTCGGAAGCTGGGAGGGAAGGAAAAGGAGTCGAGATGAGTGAGCTCGCGCCACGGCCGGCGCTTTGCGTAGATCGATATCCCCTTCTCCTTGGCTTTGGAGAAGAGGTCTAAGGCAGGGGACGGGGATGAAGATACAGGAATAGTTCCGTAATTGGCCATCTCTATCTCCCTTGAACACGGACACCCACAGTGAAAGAGAAGTTTTTGAAGTGCCAAGCAAATGGAGAGAGAGAGAGAGAGAGAGGGGGGGGGGGGATGGACGTGCTAATCGGAATGGCAGCTGGGAATGCTTTGGGCGGATAGAATAAATAATAGTTATATGCAAAGAGAAAGAGATGAGGAAAATAATAATAGTTAAATGTGGAGAGAGAAAAAGAGGGAGAGCGGTAAAAATAAGACAAAAGTTTATATAGAGTCGAGGATCTTAACAATCAAATTATAGCTCATCTCAAAAGTTTCATAAGAAGACTTTTTGATAGTTAAATATCCTCCAATTAATCATCTCGATATGAAGATATATGGGCATGAGAAAAAAATGGATTTCAAGTTTTAAAAATAGTGCATCTTGCAAAGTATTTTTGGACCGACAATTTTTAAGATTTTTAAGTTTTTATTGATATGCTCAATCTACACTATTTTTTGAGCTTTAAATTTTATAATTAGAGATGAAAAATATATTTTGAGACTATCACAAATATTTTCAGTATTGAAACCATATCTGTTGACACAATTTGAAGGTAGGTTATACTTTTATTGTTTAGAGCCTCGGCTCTATACAAACCGCACGCTGAAATTAATAGATGTGGAGCTGCACCATTTCAATGGACTGGACAGCTGTCCCCCGAAGAGTGGGAGAGGAGCCATCGACTTGTATATGCACAGTTATTACCATTATCATTATATATATGCTATGCTCCTGCGGGCATATACGGAAATTTTGGGAACCACCCAAAAATCGTTAGATAATTATATTAAAATAAAAAATTGAATTTTGAGTTTTATAACACCTAGATCTCATCCTTATGAAATTAGACGGTTTCTACTCATTCTTGAGCCATTTGGAATTTCAAGCCTAGAGAATGTAATTTGGATTTTTTTTATTGCCTATAGATATATGTTGGTCTAAGAAGAGTGACGATTTTGAACTTTCTATTAACCTTTCCCATGCCTGAGTAAAGAAGCTGGGCTGTATTAGGTAAGTAGCCAACGTAATAGTTTACCAAAACTTATCATTAGTCATGATCCAGTTGACTTCAATTAGTTAGAAAAATGTTTTGACGAAGATAATGAGTATAGCATATATGTTAAAGAGGTTATATATCAAAAATTTGGGGTTCTAAATTAGGGATGGCAATGGAGGTGGCCAGGCTAGGATAGGGCAAAAAAGGCTCAATGGTAGAGCTAGGTCCAGCCCTCTTTTTATTTCATTTCTTATTTTTGGCCTAAACCTAATAAGGCCAAGGCAATGGCCTCTTTGGCCCAATATGGGCTTGGGCAGGCCTTATGGGACAAGGCCCCTGATGAGGCTAGTACTATCCCAGCCCAGGCCCGACCCATTGCACTCCATACCTAGAAGTATCTCTAAATCTGGTTTTGCCTTGCTGAGTAAACAGTAAACAAACAGTGTACTACCTCGGGAGCACAAAACTTTTGGCCAAGCCGAAAGCGTTGATGAGGACAATGTTGAGGGGACGGCACTTTGAAATAGTAAAAGATGTTTGGGCTTTGGGGACGGCACTTTGAAATACTAAAAGATGTTTGGGCTTTGGGTAGTAGAGGGAGTGTGGGGGCCCTTTCTTTTGGGTAGTAGAGGGAGTGGGGCCCTTGCCAGCTTGTGTGGATCCATTCATCCAAGGGAAGATTAGTTTGGTGTTATTGCAACCATTGCATATTTTTTATTTCTTCCCTTTATCCCTTTTCTAATGATTGATGGACTAGACCATGATGTTGGATCCTTCTAGTTGGACATAACCCTCACTAAAGAACTGCCTAACAACACATGCATTATGAACCGGGAAAGTATACAGTAGGGCCCCTAGTTTGTTTATAAAGTCATAACTTAAATCTCATTGGCAAATGCAAATCTCGTGGCGGAAATCTTTAGAATGTTTCTATTTTTGACAATCATCGATCCAAATAGATTGGATTTTAAAACTTAAAGAGAAATGATCCAATGCAACCATTGTATTATAGTATAATGCAACGGTGTATTGGCACAATCCTATCTACTAAATCAAACTAAATCTAAGTACTTGAATATCCATTTGAATAGTCATTTTAAATTTTAAATTCAAATTCAAATTTAAATTTCATTGTTCCTCTTTCCCTTTCTTCAATAATTCAAACCGAGATGTCGCCCTCTTCAACATCTAAATCCCTAAACTCTCTCCCTCTCTATATGAGGCAAAAACCCTAAAGCACTGATCTCCCTCCTTGACAATCCAACGGTGTATTGTTGGATGAACCTGCAAAATACCTCAAAATGGATCAATCAACTTGTGAAGATTGAAGAACCTTCGAAAACGTACCAATCAAAATCAGATCAAACCCTCTCACCACCTCAATTTCAATTGACCAGTTGTTCTATTGATAAGCAAGGATGAACTTAATGTGGCACTGCGGCTCTCTTGCAGTTTGTTGATGAGCATGGGCAGTGGATGTCCTATCTGAGTGCTCTTCACTATACTCACTGCAGCTTTAGTGCTTATTTATGCAAATAATTTGTTCTATGAAGTTCTGTAGTGGAAATGGAAGCACAAATGAATTAGTCATCTATGTCTATTAGTGACATCTTTCCATGTTATAATGGGGATGTGAATATTTTCCTTGTTTTCATGTTGTAGGAATCAAATTGTAGTGTTCTGCTGGCTTAGTTGATGCATCAAAAGAGTAGTTTAACCTTTGAGGTTTACACAGCAACATTTCATTCCTTTCCAGGTCCTCTATGATATGGGTGTTGTTTCAATAAAAGAGCCTTTCCAGTGTATTATTAATTAGGGGATAATATTTGGAGAAGTAGGCATTGAGTCGTCAGTTTGTGCCCACTTTTGTTAAATCACCCCTTATGTTTCTGATGGTTGAAGTGACAGGTTGAATATATCGCAAATAGAAACCAGAAAGGAAGATTAATATCTGCTGACAATATTAAGGATAACGTTAAGTACCACCATGAAAGAATACCAGAGGATAAAGTATGCCAAACTATCTGTGGAAATTTTTTTTTGCAATAGGTGGTGAAAATCAGGTGACTCTTATGTGCTTAAAGAGGACCCCAACATCTGTTTAAGTGCAAGGGCATATAAGATGAGTAAAAGCAGGGGAAATGTAATCAATCCAGATGATATTGTTACTGAATATGGAGCGGACTCTCTTCGTCTATATGAAATGTTTATGGGATCTTTGAGGTAGTCTATATGAAATGTTTATCACAAGACACTTCATGATAAACCTATGTAAAACAAGTGTAAATAATTGGTAGAGGAAATAATTTCAGCAGCATAGTGTGGCTTCATTGATTTCATATTCTCAAGTGTAATCAATGCATTACATGAATCATATAAATCAAATGATTGCCATCACAGTTGCAAATAAATGCAGTAAAAAGAAACATGTATGGGCTGAGAAAAGAAGTAACTAGCTCAAGATCTAGTAAAAGAGAAGGCAATACTCTATACAAAAAGTGGTACCCCTAGGAAAAGGGTCATATGTACAAAAAATGGTGCTTGAGACAGCACTCTTTACAAAAAATGGTGCTAATGAGAGTACATTGCACAACCAATAAAAGTAAAAAAAAAAAATGTGGAGCGAAGTACAAAAATATTGATTAACTTCCACCAAAATCCCTCAATTCTTGATAAGCTGATTTTCATGAGAGCAAGAGCAGTTTCAACTTTTCTGGTTTTGCTTATTCAAGGGCATTCTTCCTCTTATCTCATAATATGTGATTGATCTTTATGAATTCTCCACACAAATTCAATGCTCGTTGCAAAGCACAACTGATTTGTCATTCCTTATTTGCCAGCTTGGGACCATCCATGACAAGCTTCCTTGCAATTCCTACCACCAAAAAAGAAAATCACGAGTCAAATTTCTACACAAGAATTACCGTTGAGATTTGTTTTCGTTCTTTTTTTCAATGTTTAGATTTGGAATGTTTTCAAAGATTTGGACAAACAGTCAGAGTTAAAAGACTATAAACCAAGCAGAAAAATGTTATTAATATATGATCCAAATAAATTCAAAAATGAAATACCTATGGTTTCAAAGGACATGAAACTCAAATCAGCACTACCACTCAAACTCATAATTCATACTAGCCGCAGCACATTAGATCCAATATCCCCAAACATAAGAAAACATATAACATCATTTACTAGAAATTGCACACAATATAACGCATTTGAACTATAATGGAAACAGATGGAGAGAGAGTGCCCTTGGTGGTCATGTTGGAGCGAGAGAGTGACCCTCTTATCATCATAGGCAGAGAGAACCCAATCACAGTGAAAGTTTGTTTTTGAGTTCAAAATTTAAAATTTTCATTTCAAATATGAAAATAAATAACAATTGGCATATATATCAGCCATTAGCCTACTATGTCAAAATTAAATGAATTATTGTGGATCACCATCTACCTGGTAATTACAATACATAAACTTTATCAAGGAACATGGCAACTGAGCATGTCTACTTATTACCCTTTATAAAATGGATTCATGTGAAATAGTGACACAGAATCACTTGTACCAAAATATGGGGAAAAAAAAAAAAAAAAGGGAAAACAATGAGGTCAATTTTCATGCTAAAATTACCCAACATGTCCAAAACCTTCACTACTGAATCTCTTTCTCTAGAATTTTTATCTAATAAAAGAAACTAAAACTCATGGAAACTCAAGAAATGATGAAAAAATCTGAAATAGAAACACCTAGTTTTAAATTATTAGACTGATTTTCTTCCAAAAATTCAATGTTTTTTAAAATCAAGAAGGTCTAAAACATTTGCATCCAAAAAATACAATACCTGATGTAACTTGGATTTAATATCCTTCCAATTTTTAGTGCCACCATGATTCGCATAATCTTCTACATATGCAAGTATTTGGATATCAAGCTTCAGCTTCAATTGACATTGAGATGGTGAGAGGGTTTGAACTGATTTTGGTTCTTCATTCTTCACAAGTTGATTGATCCATTTTGAGGTATTTTGCAGGTTCCTCCAACAATATTCATAGTCGTTCACAAAAATCAACGACTTGCATCTTGTGCTCTGCATCCATGAGAAAGAAAGAGCAGGTTCGTCCAACAATAATCATAGTGGTTCGCAAAAATCAATTACTTGCAACTTGTGCTCTGCATCCATGAGAGAGAATAGGAGGATGCAACGAGAGAGTGTAGTAGGAGAGAGAGCCTCATGGTTAGAGAGAGAAAGCTGGATCGTCATGGTGGGAGATCGGTGCTTTAGGATTTTTGCCTCATATAGGGAGGGCAAGAATTTAGGGATTTAGATGTTGAAGAGGGTGACGGCTCGGTTTGACTTATCCAAGAGAGGGAAAGAAGGGCAGTGGAATTTGAATTTGAATTTAAAATTTAAAATGATTATTAAAATGGATATTCAAGTGCTTATTTCAGCCATTGGATTTAATTTGATCTAATAGATAGGATTTTGCCAACACACAGCCGTTGCATTGGATCATTTCTCAAACTTAAAAAGTGATGTCGTGCAAAAGAATATTAGGACCATTCAATTAAAATCTTTATAGATATTTTTAAAGCTTCAAATTCTAGAATCCGGTGCAGAAATAAAATAATAAGTCATTAACAAAATTTGTGGGGGCAGAACTACATTTTCCTACATGGTTTAAAAATGTATCTCTACCGAGTTTAGAAAATCCGTGAACCCATAAAAACCACACCCTAATTGAGCTTGCTCACATAAATAGCATCATCTCTCGCTGTTTTCCACACTGGAAGATGAGGTAAAAGGAAGGCTATTATATGTTGAGACCACTGCTTTCTTATGCAAGATGTCACCTTTTTATATAAAATGTCACAAAACACAAGCCTTGAAATGTAACTCTTTTTCTTTTGGGTGTACTCATGAGACTTTCCATTCACTTTCAAAAGTGATATGCACAAGCAAAAATATGAACAGTCTTTATATAAAAAATAAAAACTATTGACTAGCATGTAATACTTTATGTCTCATCTTTCGGCCAATGCATTATCTCCAAAAATCATTTTCTCAATAAATATGATGAAAATGCACTTCCATATTGAAGATCACGTCCTCAAAAACTGCGGCAAGAAACCATATAATGGTTTGATTCAGGCCACTCCACTAAATGACATCTTTGGAGGCACCTTCCACCATCACCTTCTAGAAGTTTTCTTGAATTAGATGGAGGCCTTGCTCTTGGAAGAAGGTCTCTGCTTCATTAGCATAACACTCTAAAAGAGGTCCAAAATATGTGTCAAAGCATGAGCAGAATGGTCCCTTATCATACCATCGACACTACTGAGGGAACCTATAGGTTGGACCTTAGATTTCTTGATAATTTTGTACAATCAAAAGAGTTTTCCAGCGGCCAAGTCTAACCCCCACCAGATCTGCCATTGGAAAGTTATGCGTAAATTGTATAGCTTGCTAGTACTAAACGTTGGCAGGTCGCATGGGGACCACAGTACCCTGCATTTAGGGAATATAATTGCCCTCTAAGTAATTATAATTTCCCTCTTATATAGACTACAACTTCAGGTCCAGAAGTTTCTAGAATTATGCAGTCATCCAAAGATTTCAGAAATTTACAAAAGACCATAAGGCCTCTACATGTCAGTTAAAGAGTGGATCCCAGAAGTCCTGTGCATGAAGCTTGGAGGAGGCTGTATGTGGCTAGAAGATGGTCACATGCTACCAACAATTCAGCTCATGTGGCTAACTTTAGGCCGCATGCAGCCAAGATTGAGTGCATGTGGCCTAGTTGTGGTCGTATGCAACCTCATCATGGCCATTTACAGCTTCATTTATGGACCAGCTTAGGGATGCATGCCAAATGCATCCTGGACCCTATGATCTCATATCTTTCGACCTGAACCATCCATATTTAGCTCTAGGGTCACAACCCTCAAGATATAAATAATCACCTCCCACGCAGCGATCCAACAATTTATCATGAGCTTGACAGAACAGTCCCTCATCACAGAACATAACTGCCAGCTCTAAAACACGACCCTCAGTTCCGATACTACAACCATACCCCTAGAACAGCCTTACTAATACAACACTCTTTCCAACTCAATTACAGCAAGAAAAGATGATAAAAAATACCTCATAACGTCCTCAACAATATTTCTATTCAATTAAACACCATAAGATTGCATACATACAAGACAATTTGTACTTATACACAAAATTCAGCCATGTAAAATATTGAATTACATCAAAAAAAAGTAGCATAGAATTATAATTCAAATGCAATCTCATCAAACACTTTCACAAATGTGTGTGTGGAGACATAAATTATGAAAAACTTGTAGACACCCTATTTTAAATCTGACAAATTCTATGGTTTCCTGAACCCTTATGTAAACAACCTAAGATTTTCTTCGGGCCAGTGAACACTCGGGGAGATAAGGAAGAGACACACGTGGTCGTGGGAGTGGTTGCCGCCGTGTATGAAGGGAGGCAACGCCGATTGTGAAGAGAGAGAGGCAACACCAACTGTGAAGAGAGAGGCAACACTGGCTGTGAAGAGAGAGAGGCAACGCCGGCTGTGAAGAGAGAGAGGCAACGCCGGCTGTGAAGAGAGAGAGGTAACTCCGGCTGTGAAGAGAGAGAAGGCAACGCTGTGTATGTCACCGCCGTGCATGGTCAGTGACTGCCACCTGCTGAGTGCATGCTGCCACTCATGCCACTTGTCCAGTTGCATGAGTAGGTGTTTGCCACATGCCAGCTCTTGTACTTAAGCCCTCTTTCTTTTCCTTACGCCACTCACACTCATTCTCTCTCTACCCAAATACCATTTCTCATCACGTAAGTGGATTTAGAGACTATGAATCACTACTTTTATTCAAGCATGAAATGTAGAATAGTATAATGTAGACAAATATGTATGGATGTGTAAGAATAAGCCTGAATTTTAGGACTAAAGTGTTAGAATTCACGAATGATTGAGCTATGCTAATTGTGAGAAAGTTTCAAACACCCCTCCCCCCCCCCTTGTGAATCTAGTTTAAGTTGAAATGGGTTTTGTGTATTGCTCATGCTTGGGTATGTCGTAGAATTGGGGAAATGAGTTGGGAAATGCAATTTCCAGGAACTGTGGATGGTTTTGTATCAATTCGTTTAGTGACTAAATGGTGTCCGAATGGACTCAAATTAGTTTTGAAGGAGAGATATACTTGTCTACTACAACTTTTATTCCTGTACTATCTTGAAATTCTTCATATTTTAAGATTTACCCTCCAGAATGTGTGAATATGTCACTGTTAATTGACAGCAGAAATTTCCAGCAGCTGTCACCTATGTTGTATCGAGCTTTCGACCAATCAATAAGTGTCCAAATACCTCCAAATCATCTCCATTTGAACTGTGTGTTTGTCTGTTACAATGTTTATATTCAAACTTTTTTTAAATTTTCCATGAATGAGAACCTATACTACAAAATATGCCAGTAGGTCACCATGGACAGTTTTAATAAATTACAAAACTGATGCCTCTGTTGCCATGAATTTTGACCAACTAAATGAAGTTTGTTTTCTTTCAAAACACTGTCCTTTGAGATATTTATGAGTAATATTGAAATCACATGTTTAGAAATTTTCAAAATTCTTCCTAATTTGAGAGTTATACGATTAAATGCAAAGATATGTTACTGTGGATAGCTTTCATGGAAACTCAGAACTGATGTCTCCGTTGCCACCGATTTCGATTGACCAAAATAAATCCATTTTCTTTCAAACCACCACCATTTGAAAGGTTTATAGGAATAATTAAAGTTGCATGTAAAGAGTATCTTGAAAACCCGCTAGTTTAGAAGTTATGCCTTTCTAAGGGGAGTATATCACTGTTGGCAGAACTACCCGGGAATTGTGCTTGCAAAGTGTGAATGCTAATTAGTGAATGCTATGTAATATTCATGTAATGAATGTGAATGCTAATGAGTGAATATTATGTAATATTCATGTGATGAATGTGAATGCTAATTAGTATTCATGTGGTGAATGTGAATGCTAATTAGTGAATGCTATGTAATATTCATGTAATGAATGTGAATGCTAATTAGTGAATGCTATGTAATATTCATGTGAGGAATGTGAATGCTATTTAGTGAATGCTATGTAATATTCAAGTGATGAATGTGAATTCTAATTAGTGAATGCTATGTAATATTCAAGTAATGAATGTAAATTCTAATTAGTGAATGCTATGTAATACTCATGTGATGAATGTGAATGCTATATGATGAGTGCCAAATGATGAATTTCATGTGTTAATCATGTAATGGCTGTTATGTGTTTGATAATTGTAAAAGCGATTTAAGTGACGTTACGCACGGGTCACCCGTGGTAGTATGATAGTGAGGCCGGCAGTGTTCCCCAACTCCCTATGATAGGAGGGGAGTTGGTTGGAAGTGTAATGGGTGGGTCGCGCCCCCCTAATTTCTGTGCATTATAAAAAGAGTAGTGAACCGTGCCTTGTAAGGCAAGTGTCTAACAAAAGCCCCAAAGCGCGCTGGGGACTGTATGTGTGAGTATAAGGGCATTACTGAACGGGTCACTCATTGTCATTGCCCTCCCTCCTTAGTGATGGTAAAAGTCCTAAACAATGGGATTCGCTTGGCCTGATGAATAGGGCTTCTATTTCGAGAGTAGGTGAATTAGGGAGTGAGTGGTTAATGTTAAAAGTGTGAATGTGAATGATAATAACCATGTTGATTAAATGATAGCCACGACATTTGATATGCCATCTGTGATAGATATGTGGATAAGATTGCTAAATTTGAATGCTATCTCTATTGTGATCGCTCATAGTTGAAAGAATTATTCATGACATCTAGATGTTTTTATAGCTGATGCATAGTAGCTAGATTCTCTTACTGGGCTTTGTAGCTCATTCCTATATTGCTTTTTCAACCCCGTAGAGTAGAAGTCACAGGTCCATATTAGGCAGTTGGGAGGGCGTATTGGTAGCCGAGGTCCTGCATTTTCCAAGAAGACTTTTTGCTAGTATTTGTTTATCAGCCGTGGGCCATGCACGTGTTTGTAATGAAGTTACAATTTTTTGTATTTAGGCCTTCGGTGAACAATTGTATTACTCCAAGTTGTATCTGTAATAATTATAAGTTTCAGTTTTATTTATATGTGTGTAGAGTTTCTTTATCTTTCTTGTGATTTGCTTTGATTCTGCATTTTTTTATATGTGTTGATGCCACTCCCACATGAGTGATGTATGCAACCTCACGTCGCAATCCCGCACTCTATCACCCTCCAATTTGGGTACGGTAGGGGTCAGGGGGCGGGGTGGTGACAGTTATGGTATCAGAGCCGCCAGGATAAGATTTTTGGCCTAGGGGATTCTAAAAGTGTATGTAGAATAGTTTCTAGAAAGATTAGTGATTGGATGTTCTTGTGCTAGGTTGAAGAGAAGATGACGAGGACTCGTGCTAACAACGTGAGCTCTAGTAATAAGAATACAGGTGCTTTCGGAGAGTTCTTTAGGACACTTGGGGCCATGACCCAGATCATGAAAGATAATATGCCGGCCCCATCCACACCTGCCCCAAACCTAGCTGATAGTGAGTTGATTGAAAGATTCAAGAGGTTGGCACCTCCTACATTCTTAGGGCATGGGGGTGTAGAAAAAGCCGAGAAATGGAAGAGACAGGTGGAGAAATTTCTAGAGGTGTTGCAGTGCTCGGATGAGCAGAAAGTCAGACAAGGAGCCTTCATGCTTGAATGGTAGGCTGAATATTGGTGGAACTTAGTTAAGCAGTCTTAGAGGGAATCAAGGACTGAAGCCACTTGGGACAATTTCCTGGTGGCGTTCGATGAAAAATACTTCCCTGAGTCAGTTAGGGAGAGAAAAGAAGTCGAGTTCATTGAACTTCAGCAATGGAGGTTAACAATTCAGCAATATGCCATCAAGTTTGTGGATCTTTCACGATATGCACCTCACATTATTAATACAGAGGTGCGAAAGGCGAGTATATTTGAGAGGGGCCTTCGACTAGATATTAGAGGAAGAGTGTTATCGGCCAATATTAAGTTGTATGCTCCACTAGTAGACCTCGTGATGAACATTGAAAGGGATTGTGAGAAGTTTCGCATGAGGAAGGAAGGAAGGCCAAGACCCGCTCAGTCAGGAAATATTGGGAAGAAAGTTCGGCCACCCTCGAAGAAAGACTTTAGAGGAAGACCCTATCCAGGCAATCGGAGAGCTCAAAAGACTTTTCCGAGCAACAAGGGGGATAACCTAGACCCAACTTTTTCATACTGTGGATGGAGCAATCACACTGAAGCTGAGTGTTATAAGAAGCTGAATATGTGCCTTAAGTGTGGCAAGCCCGACCACTGGAACCGAGATTGCCCCATGATAATGCTGGAAAACCGACCGAAGACTCAAGATCGGGTATTTGCATTGACAGAATAAGAGGCCAAAGAATCTACCTCAGTGATCAGAGGTACGCTTTTTGCCTGTGATAGAGAAGAAAAAATCTTGATTGATCCCAGTTCCTCTCATTCTTTCGTTGCACCGCATTTTACATGTCTTCTAAATGTTAAACCTACATGTCTTAATTATACACTAGTAGTGCACACACCTGTGGGAGATTCTGTAGAAACTGATAAGGTATTCAAGCCATGTGAAGATTTGATAGAAGGATGTGTTTTACCCGCAGACTTAATATTATTAGATATTCAGGATTTTGATGTTATTCTGGGTTCGGACTGATTGTCCACCCATCGGGCTACTGTTAACTACCATGTTAAGACCGTGGCTTTTAGGCGCCCTCATCAACCTGAATTACACTTTGTGGGCACTCCAGACATTTACCCTCTACAACTTATTTCGGCCCTTTGGGCTTCCCGCCTCCCAACTAAAAGGTGTGTGGGGTATTTAGCTTGTGGAGTAGAGAATTAAGGTGTCCAATCCAAGTTAGAAGACATCCCAGTGGTACGAGAATACCAATAGGTGTTCCTTGAAGAATTGGCCTCCTTGCCTCCCATAAGAGATATAACATTTGAAATAGATGTGGCCTCTGGTATTATTCCCATCACTAAAGCCCCATATAGGATGGCCCTAGCAGAATTGAAAGAGTTGAAGGAGCAATTACAGGAACTATTGGATAAGGGGTTCATCCAGCCTAGTGTGTCATCTTGGTGTGCACCAGTTTTGTTTGTGAAAAAGAAAGATGGATCCCTGAGGCTTTGTATTGACTACAGGCAATTAAACCAAGTTATAGTGAAAAACAGGTATCCCCTACCCAGGATTGATGACTTTTTTGACCAGCTGCCAGGGGCCCAAGTAATTTCAAAGATCGATCTTCGATCGGGTTATAACCAATTACGGGTCAAGAAGGAGGATGTTCTCAAGACCGCGTTTAGAACCCGATACGACCACTATGAGTTTCTAGTAATGCCATTCGATTTAACTAATGCCCCTGCTGCTTTCATGGATCTAATGAACACAGTGTTTTGACCTTTTCTGAATGATTTTGCTGTAGTCTTTATTGATGATATTTTGGTATAGTCAAAGAATATATGAGAGCATGAACAATACCTGAGAATGGTCCTTCAAACTTTAAAGTCGGAGAAATTGCACGCCAAGTTGAGTAAGAGTGAATTTTGGCTTCCTAGTGTGACCTTCCTGGGGTATATCATTTCTAAGGATGGGATCGCGGTCGACCATTCTAAGATTGAAGCCGTGCTTAAATATCGAAGGCCAACAAATATAACTGAGATATGAAGTTTTTTGGGGTTGGCAGGATACTACAAGCTTTTTGTGGAAGGGTTCTAAAAAATAGCACTTCCTCTGAGTCGTCTGACCTAGAAGAATGTGAAATTTGTGTGGTCGGACGATTGTGAGGAAAGCTTTCAAGAATTAAAGAAGAGATTGACCACAACCCCGATACTAGCCCTGCCTAAAGGGAATGAGGACTTTGTAGTCTTTACCGACAACTCTCAGAAAGGTCTAGGGGGTGCACTTATGCGGAGGGGAAAGGTCATTGCTTATTCCTCCAGATAATTAAAACCATATGAGAAAAATTATCTGACCCATGATTTGGAGCTTGCTGCTGTAGTATTCACTTTAAAAATCTGAAGACACTACCTCTATGGGGTCCAGTTTAAGATGTTTACAGATCATAAGTGCCTCAAAAATCTATTCTCTCAGAAGGAACTAAATATGAGGCAAAGAAGATATATGAATCTATTAAATGACTATGATTATACCATCGATTACCACCCGGGCAAGACTAATGTTGTAGCTGATGCTTTGAGCAGAAAGCCCATAGTATCAATGACACATTTGATGGTTCAAGAGATGAATATGTTACACGATGTGGTAAATTGACATCCAACTTTACATGTGGGTAATGAGATAGGAATGGCTGCTGGTATAGGGGTAGAACCCCAACTCTTCCAACAAATCCACTTGGCGCAAGAGAAGGATCCCCATCTTATAAAAATTCTGGAAGAGACAAAATTGGGGAAGAAAGATGATTTCTCTGTGAGTAGTAATGGGTTGTTAAGATTCAAAGATTGGGTTTGTGTTCCAAAGGACGAGGATAAACAGAGAATTATTTTTGAGGAAGCACATCGCTCCCATTATTCCATTCATCCTGGGAGTACTAAGATGTATCTAGACTTGAAAATAATATTCTGGTGGAACAACAACAAGAAAGAAGTAGCCCTATTTGTTTCTAAGTGTTTAACGTGTCAACAAGTGAAAGCTAAGCACCAGAGGCCTGTCTGATTGTTATAGCCCTTACTCATACCGAAATAGAAATGGGAATATATTACCACGAATTTTGTCTCGGGCTTACCTAAGACAAACTCTGGACACGATAGTGTTTGAGTCATTGTGGACCGACTGACCAAGGCTGCACATTTCTTGCCGATCCGCACCACCAACACCTTAGATAAATTGGCTCAGTTATACATCAAGGAGATAGCCAGGTTGCATGGTATATTAGCCAACATCGTGTTTGACATGGATACTAGGCTTACTTCAATAGTTTGGACTAGTTTGTAGTCAGCCCTGGGGACAAGACTTATTTTTAGTACTATATTTCACCCCAAACTGATGGACAATCAGAGCGGACCATTCAAATGCTAGAAGATATGTTACGGGCTTGTGTAATTGATTTTAAGGGAAGTTGGGATAGCCATTTACCCCTGATAGAATTTTCTTATGACAACAGCTTTCATGTCAGTGTTCAAATGGCACCTTTTGAGGCTCTATATGAGAGGAAGTACATATCCCCTATCTGTTGGGATGAAGTGGGTGAAAGAAGGCTTTTGGGGCCAGATATTGCTCAAGAGACCTCAGAAAAGATTACCTTGATTCGGGAGAGGCTCAAGATTGCTCAGAGTCAGCAGAAGAGCTATGCTGATAACAGAAGGAGTGATCTTAAATTTGAAGTGGGTGACCGAGTTTTCTTGAGAGTGTCGCCAACAAAGGGCATCATGAGGTTTGGTAAGAAAGAAAAATTGAGCCCACGTTTCATTGGGCCTTTTGAAATTTTGGATTGGGTTAGAAGTATGGCCTATCGACTTGCCCTGCCACCTGAGCTGGCAAACATTCATAATGTTTTTCGTGTGTCCCTATTGAGGAAGTATCTACCAGACCCAACCCACGTTATAAGGTATGAACCAATTCCAGTTCGAGAAGACTTATCTTACATTGAGCAACCAATAGAGATTTTGGATCGGAGGGTGCAAGTATTACGCAATAAAGAAATTCCTCTAGTTCGTGTTTTGTGGCAACACCATTCACAAGATGAATCGACCTAAAAAAGGGAAGATGAAATTTGAAATAAGTATCCCCATTTATTCGAGATGTGATTTTGAGGACAAAATCCCTTTTAAGGGGTGAGTGATGTAACAACCCAAGATTTTTTCTAAGCAGTCGGGGTGATAAGGAAGAGACACATGCGACGGTGGAAGTGGTTGCCGCCATGTATGAAGGGAGGCAACGCTGACTGGGAAGAGAGAGAGGCCACATCAGTGGTGAAGAGAGAGGCAATGCTAGCTATGAAGAGAGAGGCAACGTCGTGTGTGTCACCGCTATGCATGGTCAGTGACTGCCACCTGCTGAGTGCATGTTGCCACTCATGCAGTTGTCCAGCTGTATGAGTGGTGTTTGCCATCTGCCAGCTCTTGGGCTGCCACCTCCCATCAAGGGAGTACTTAAGCCAGCTTTCTTTTGCTCAACCCACTCACACTCATCCTCTCTCTACCCAAATTTTGACCCTCTGCACACCTTTACTCCATTAGAGCTTAGCTGTGGGAGCTGGAGAAGACTGTGTAAGAAGGAGTTGGAGACACCATTGGTCAGATGCCTAGATCTCGCTCTTAGATCTAGGTGAACGGGTGCACATGTCTCGGGTTCAGACAGACCCGAGACCTGAGACTGCTCTCTTAGGAACCTTGTTCACAGAACAAGGGAAGAAGCCTAGCTGGTGAGAGAGGAATTTTATTCGTGAGGTGGGGATCAACCTCACCTGGGTCCGTGACTTACTCGGGCTGACTCGCGTGGGCACCCTCTTAGATCACAACGGAAAGCCCCCCACTTGCTTCAACTGGTTTGGAATCGCTTCCTTGAGTTGCAATCTCCTTGTTTTCTATAAAGTACTAACATAGTTAATTTGCAAGACAAGTGGGCCAAGGGACCCACCCATATCTTGGGGTGAACATGCACAGCTGTGCACATTTAGATGGAAAAGAAGGTGAGAAGTTAGGGTGATGAAGAAGAGGATTTAAATAAGGGGAGAACATAGAAGAGGACTTAACAAGGGAACGAGACCAGCATGGAAGCTGGACCAATACAGTGGCCGACTCGTAGTGGTAGCAAGATGGGCACGGTAACTTAGACCAGCGCGACGACAATACTACTCAAAAACCAAGGTCGATATGACTGTCCTAATCTTGTGTGGCAACAAGACGGGCATGGTACTCTTGACTAGCACGACGACAATATTGCCTGACAGCCAGATGCTATGACAGTGCTAAACTAAGTCTATCCTTTAGTCAAACAAGAAGAGAAGTAAAGGAAAGAGAAGAGAGCGAAGAGAAGACGCAAGACGAAGGAGTAAGAATGTCTCAGTGGCATTAGGCATCTCCACCTATAGCTAGGGAGTAACGGTGTCGTGGCCCTTGGATGGCGCTGGACACTACTGCTCACGGCAGAGGGGTGAGTAATGAACCAAAAATGGAATTGGCCATCATCGTCGATGACATGAGAAAGCAGGAATGACCCTTTGCAGGCAGCGATATATATCACCGTTTGAGATAGACACATAGCTCAAAAGAGAGGCCTACAAAGGATGGTAAGCATTGATGTCTGCAACAGAGGCGAAGCATGAATGATACCCCCATGGGCGGCAGTAAGCATCGCCGTTTGTGATAGGTGTGGGACACCAAAGACACGCC